GCTGAGCCTTTCCTGATGTGTTCTCCAGTAAAATTACCTGTAAGGGTTATCTATGTTTCTAGACATTCCAAATGTTATAGTACTTGTTGCATCATCCTCTTGTTTCTGTTGGCAATTCCTCAGCTTCTTTTCTTGGAGACCACAAAAAAGGGGTGAATGCAATTAAGCAGAATGCTAGAGTTCCCAAGAACAGAAAGTTAATACAGCAAAAACACCTCGGCATGGATAATATTAAAAATTAATGCGAGCAGTTAAGTTTCCAAACAGGGAATGTGACTCATGTTGATTATCTCATTTTTCTGCAGGTTTTTAAAAAATATATATCATGTAAAAAAAGGGTCTAAAGTCTATCTAAACATTGAAGTCCCATAGTATTAATCTCTAAGAATAATTAATTTGTAAGAATTATTGATACCCTCTTACCTAGATTGCTCATAAAAATATACCCTATCCTATTGGGTATTTTTTTAATGTTCCATTGGCAGTTACCAAAGATAATGGTTTAATAGATATAGGAGGCCACGTTTAAGAATTTTTTTTAAAGAAGGATACAACTAGAAAGGGTAGCAATGATAGTATTTTAAATACCCATTTACATTCTTAACTAGAAAAACACACATACACACACACACACACACACACACACACTGTGTGTCTGTCTCTCTCAGATTGGTCAAGGGATTCATCCATAACTCAATAACATATATAGGGTAAGGCCTAATTTAGCAAGTACCGATATTTAAAAATTATCCCAGGCAAAGTATAATTCTTGCATCCTTGTCTTCAGATGTTTTTTTTTGAATGCAGGTGCAAGACATAAAGGGCAAGGACAGGTCCTTCCTGTTTATCTGACTGAGGTACCTCTTATGGAAGAATACAAAAGAAATGTTTTACGTAAAGATGGTTCTTCTTTACCTCATACCTGGAGGCATTTTAGTAGTTGCATATCTTATTTTTAAATGTTCTTCTTCGTTCTCCCCACAACCCCACTCCTTTCAGTGTTCATTTGTGCATGAAGTATGGCAGGAGGGTTGCTTGGCTTTAATTTTCAGATCATATGGACAAAAGTAGTTGGAAAAAATAGCTTTCACTCACTAAAAGCTAGAATCTACAGACATTTTATGAGGCAGTCTAGTATATAGGGCCAAATGTGGACTTAGTGTGAAAAAGAGCTAAGCTCAAGTCATGTGTCTGAAACATACTGCCTGTGAGCCTGTGGTTAAGTTATTTAATTGAACCTTAGTTTCTTCATCTGTAAAATGATGGTAATGTCTGTAGCATCTACCTCACAGGGGTAGTGAGAAACTCAAATGGCACTTTGCAAACTTGAAATATAAATGTCTACTATTCTCTCAAATATGACTTGAATTAATAAAAAGGCATTTATTAATCACTTGCTGTATGCCGTGCACTGTGCCAAGTGCTAGGGATGCAAATACAAAAGTAAAACAATCCCATATTACAACCAGTACATATCTCATTGGTTTCCACTTTTATTCAGATAATTTCATAAATCCTTCATCATAGGGATCTATCCTGTTGTCTGTTGAGGGCCTTTCTCCTGACCTGTTGATATCACATTGAATACCAATGGAGCAAACAGGCTGCCTCTCTACTTCTTTTGTCCTCGCTACGTGGTCTTCTATTTTAATTGTACATCTCCTTGATAATATTGTTTTCACTGCTTTTGATACACATTTCTTCATTGGCAATGTGCTGCATCCTATTCATACCCACTACGCATCTCACCATTGCTGATTGGATGACCTTCTTCTTTATTTCTTGGGAGACTTTGTTACTCCATTATTTGTAGTTGTATAGCATCATTGGAAGTATACTGGTTTTTTTTAAAAATGGGCCATATTTCCAGAAAAAGCTTCAGGGCAAACGTACTATGCAGTTTCTCAAATGCAATCCAGTATACTGTCTTCCTTCTCAATTCTAAGCCCAGTTCACTGTCAAGCTTCAGTGTCTTTGAAAGATTTAGAAAAGCTCTATGGATCGTCTGTCCCACTTTATATCATAGTCTGGACAATAGTCATTTTTCATCCACTTGTTCTTTTTCTTCATGATTTGTTGGACTGAGTGATTATAGATCCCATTTGGGAGGCTCTGCAAAGTTCTGGGACTTGGTGAAATCAGGACAATGTCAACTGCAAAAAGGGACATCTAGAGGACCTTACCATATATAGGAGGCCCTCCTCTGTTGGCATTCTTTACTAGACATCCATCATAACAGTGGCAGACATCATTGGAGAGCATGTCATCTGTCTTATTCTTCACTTGATATTAATGATTAGAGGGTTGTTGGATTAAGTTATAGCTATTGTTGCATCTTTTAAGTAATTATGTATAACTTTAACATATGCATGAAAGACCACTTCTTAGAACAGGTTATGTTTTTCTGTACTGAATCAAATGATTTTTCATAGCCAACAAACAATAAGCACAGTGGGATCTCATATTCTCCACACCATTCAGTCATTTGTGTGGCTGTATAAATACTGTTAGCTGTAGAATATCCTTTGTGAAAACCTGCCTATTCTCTTCCCATACCTTCATAAAGAATACCTTTGATTCATGTTTAAATTATTCCCATAAAATAGTTATTGATATTTTCTTGGTCACCTTTTTTCAGTAATAACAATGTCTCTGATTTTTTCCAAGCATTTGATACTCTTTCCTTTCAGATATTTCAAGGACTTATCCCTGAATACCCTCAAAATTGTATTGCCTTTAGCATAGCTCTGTGCTTTATATATATTTGATGTAATCCAGCTGCTCTTTCTGTCCTTGTTTTCTTTATTTTCATAGCTACTTACTCATCTAGTGCCTCAAAACTATAATAATAGTAGTGCTTGACAGTGATGGCTTTATAGTGATTGATGAAGAAAATAATTTGTTATCAAAATCTTAGCAGACCTCTTTCTTTTCTTTGCTGTCCTTCTAAACTTATCTTTAAATATTCTTGGAATGATCTGTCTTAATTGGATCTGTTCACCATGTTCTGTATAGGATGCTTTTCCCTCTGCCACTTATCATTGTTTTGTGAATCATTTTTTGAATGAACTTATATTTACATTTAATTAAAATTCAATTTAATTAAATAATTTAAATACATTAATTTATTAATTAAATTTAATTGAAATAAATTTAATTTTAATAAATTTAATATAAATATGAATGTATTTATATTATATATAGCATTGCCTATGGCTTCCATAACACTCCACTTGGCAAGTAGGTTGTGTTTGCTTTGTGAAACAGTTTCTAGGCTCTTTTGGAATCTTCATTGTGACAACTGATTTACATTGGTTAAACTTCGTTAGGAGACAATGATAGCTTCTGTTGGTGTCTGTTCTTTTACCTATGTCCTATTTTTTGGTGTCATCAGCTTGTTTAAATGGGTCAAGTTGGAACCATATATTCTCATTTTTATTTTTTCTTCTAATTTGGTATTGATTTTGACATTTACCCTAACAAGTTGATGGTCAGACTGTGTACATAGACAGCTGGTTTGGAAACAATTCCTATATTAGTAAAAAGTCATTTCCTGTGAAAATATAGCAAATTTAATTTTTGTGTTGTTATTCTATGTTTATTATGTCTAGTGCCTTCCAATTTAATTAGTTGTTAGGTAAATATTTATAAATGTACCAAAAGCTGCAATTCTTAGCAACCTTTCTTCCCTTTACCACCACTCTGCCATGGTTACTGAAAGTAGAAGGGAATCATAAAGGTTGGAGGACAGTTTTGTATTTTGTTGTTTCACGGGTTGTTCTGGCCAAATAAGTCATCTAGTGGTCAGTCTATTGGTGATGAGTTTCTCCATACTTAATGAGGCTGGTCCTCAATATGGGACCATATTGAGCTTTGCAAGTTTGCTAGGACCATCCAGACTTTGCATTTTGCTGGTGTATTCTTTGAGGACCCACAGCCATCTCCATGCCATGATAAGGTATCTCAGTGGGACTTTTATGGACTTTTGTTATGGGAAGAAATAGGTCATAGAGCAAAGAGAAGGCATAATATACTCATTAAAGTCAATTACAAAGCTTAAAACCAAACAAAGGGTGGATTTCTGTGTTTACTAATAGGTAACATGATAAAATTGATTTTATGAGGAATCATCACATAGTATTGTTTAAAGTACCTTTAGCGTTTATTATTTAAGCAACCAGTGCAAATAAAGACTCTAATAGCTGTTCTATTGAGCAAGAATGGATGCTAGTTAAAAATTACTCCCTTCCCCCCAAGAAATATATGTCATGGTTTCAGTTACAAGGAACAGATAAAAAAGTTACACAGAAAATTTTCTTCCTCGGGGCTTCTTCTGACATGAGTTCCTTAAGTTAAGGGATCAAAGTGGTATCATTTTGTTCTAAAATTAGTGTGAGCTTGGGAATATAAGAAAAGGAACAAAAATGTTTCTCTGTCTATTGCTGAAAGCCAAGGAAACTTGCTGTTTAAATTAAGGGACTACTTCTGTTCTTTGTGTTGACCAGGATTTGCCTTCTCCCTGATTAAAGATATGACAGGAATATAAGAATTTCTGTTGAAGGAGGGCCTAGAGTCCTTAGAAAACCAGTCATCCCTGTTTCTAATTAACTGTCTTAGTAATGAAGTTGTATTTGGTGTGTAGCTCTTATATTATCCAGAAAGATATTTCACATTCATCTTGAATTTGTCATTTGTTAAAATATGTGCAGGAACATATAAGGTGTATTCATTCCTTAGTTGTAATGTTTGTATTACACACACACATTTATATACATATATATGTAATATATACACATACATATGTATATATAAAATATATATATTTTAAAAGTAATTTTTTCTTCAAAGCAAATATTTTTTCCATGTTACATGGTTTGAAGGGAAACATTTTATGCATCCTGTGAATTGATTAACTTAGTAAAGCAGCGGGTAAAACAAACCATCTTGAGAAAGATGCTTTGGTTTTACAATAAAACTAATGGAACATTTGCGCTTTTCAGGGCATGTAACTCAATTTTTACGGCACTTGACCACTGTCATGAAGCCATAGAAATAACCAGCGATGATCATGTCATTCAGGTATGAAAAAGAGTATTTGTTTTTAAAAACATAGATGGGAAATGTTTCTGTACTTTGCCATGATATCTGATATGAATCCTTGACCTAAGTAAAAAGTAAAAAACAAACAAACAAAAAAAAAAAACAACACTAAGCATGCATAATTTTCTTTCTTGAAGTAGGGTCAGGTCCAAGCTTTAGTTAACCATTAAATTTTCATCACAACCAGGTCCTGATTAGTGTGAATATAATGAATCCCTTGGAGCAGTCACATATATTCAACTTCATACTATTGAAAATTATAATTATGTAAAATATGGTAAGTTGTTCCAGCCCAATGGAAAGATATAATGCTAATTTAAATAATGTACCCATTTCACAGGATTCATTACTTACACTAATCAGGACTTAATTGTAATTCCAGGTCCATTAATTGGGAATCTGTAATCCTTAGGAAATAGACAGTATTGAAATTTTTCTTTGCACTAGCTCCCATGCTTAGGGGTTAGCAGCATATAAATAATGTTTTTAGAGGAACCCATTTACTCACCAACATTTGGCATGCTGGTATTAAACCACTGTTTATAGTCACCGAAGCAAATTTCTTACATGTTTGAATTACATAGTTTTTTTTTCCAGTTTGTTTGGACCACTGATTTTATTGATAATAGGGAAATCCTGGAGAGGAAATTTGCTTTACCACTTCAAATAGGCAACATCTCTATACCTCACAGTCTCGGAGAGTTGTCTGCAGCATTGAGAGAGGTTAAGCTATTTGCCCATAGTCGCAAAGCTAGTAAATATTTGAAGGAAGATTTGAACCCAGAACTTCCTGATATAATAGGCTGGTTGTCTATCTACTATGCCTCTAGGTTACAATCATTAAATATCTATAGTCGAAAATTGCCCTGCTTTTAAAGTTATCTTCAGTTTATATTTTTTAACTAATTGAAATAACTAGATGACAAAATGGATAGAGCACTAGACCTGGAGCCAGGAAGGACTGAGTTCAAATCTAACCTCAGACACTTACTAGTGACCCTGGGCGAGTCACTTAACCTTTATCTTTCTCAGTTTCTTCAACTGTAAAGTGAGGATAATGACAGCATCTGCCTCCCAGGGTTGTGAGGATCAAATGAGATGACATTTGTAAAGTGCTTAACACAGTGCTTGGTACATAACAAACACTTAATAAATGCTCATTTCCTGCCTTCCTAATTAAAACTGTCTTTTGCCCCAGTGTCTTTTAAGTTGGTGAGATTTTACTGTCTGTGAGCAGTCCAGGCTGCCAGCAGTAGGAGATGAGCTCACATCACTGAAAACACAATTTTCATTCTAAGCTCAGTGACGATGATAGACAAGATTGAGCAACTATCTGTCAGGCAGGCGATTTTTGTCACATCATCTTTTGCGTGCCACCAAGATCACCAACAGATGGCAATTTTTAGAGCATTGGCCTCAAATTCCACACTCCTAAGCAAAGGTTTGGAAAGGGACCTCCTTGATTCCACTGTTCTCAGAAATGTCTTCCTCCTGCTCCTGGATTGTCCTCTTTTCTCATTCTTCCTCTCCACATCTTTTTGAAATCTCTAGGAATTAAGGGGCCCCTTAGGTAGTACTTATACCCTAGGCATAAAATGAGAATGAATGAGAAACTTATGCAAAAAAAATAAATAAATAAGGTCCACACTTTACCAGTGGCAACTGAGTAAAAGATGGGGGAGGAAAAGACACTGTTTGGTAAAGATGCAAAGCTTTTTAATTACTTAAGCCACAATCTGTTGGATGATTTATTTGATTTTAACTGTAGTTTTGATATTTCTTTTCTGAGTGCTTATCCATCAGAGACTATGGAGAGTGACAAAGGATGTATACCAAGCTGAGGGGTCTTGACTCTTTCCTAATGAGATAACTTTTGATTTTCCCCCAAATCTTGTGATCCCTGGCAAAAGGTCTGTGCGGATATGGGGAAGGGAAGATTGATAGAGTTAATTCCTAACTTGGAAAGGAGGTATTGTAACGGCAATTGGCCCAAGCTCTCCTTTGCTCTCAAAGTTTTTGTAAGCTGCTTACTGAAGGAGATGTGTTAATATGGCAGCCACCTTGAAAATCAGTTTTTTGATCAATTGATAGATTGTGATTGACCTGCTGATGGCTTGTACTCACTGTACTTCTTAACAACATGGCAGTTCATAACATAGCTAACTCTAAACACAGCTTAACAGAAAAGAGAGCACATTGATTCCTCTTTATTCCCTAACCTCACCTGGAATTACCTGTCTCTATCAGTATGTCAACCCCGCCTTCGAAAGGATGATGGGCTATCACAAGGGAGAGCTCATAGGTAAAGAACTCACTGAACTGCCCAAAAGCGACCAAAACCGTGCAGATCTGCTGGATACCATCAACACGTGCATCAAGAAGGGAAAGGTTAGTGAATGTTCTTTCCCCTCCTTCTGGGAGATTTCTAGGAGTCTCCATTTTGTGATTTTTTTTGATAGTTATGAATATTATAATGAGTTAAAACGCCTAGTTTCTATGTGCAAAATATGTCTTTGAGGTGTTTTTGGACCTCATATATCATAGGCTGGGTTACTTCATGCCTGATAATCTCCATAGCATTAGTAGTTAATCTATTTTTAAAGAAAACAATTCTTATACACATGCACATATCTTCACTGTTCCTGATTAATTGATTTGGCTATCAGACGATCAGTGAGCATTTATTAAGTGCTCGCCACATGCCAAGCACTGTAGGCACTAGAGATACAAGTACAAAGAAAAAAATGGCCCCTGCTCAACTTAAATTCTAATAAGGAAGGCAACAAGAACATATATAAGTATATGTAGTGTAAATACAAAGAGAATAAATATAAAAATGAGGTGTTTGGGGGAGAAGGGGAAGAAACTACCAGTTTAAGAGATCAGGAAAGACTTGAGCCCTTAAAGGAAGAGAGGGATTCTTTGAAGCAGAGATAAGAGAGGGGAAAGTGAGGAGGGAGGTTCTGGGATAAAGAATTCCATGTAGTGACTTGCTGTATATTCCCTTTAGCCAGAGAAGTCTGTGTTCTCCTTATCTCTTTATCTGGGTGACTATAAATATGTGTGTGTGTGTGTGTGTGTGTGTGTGTGTATATGAATACACATATATACACACACATATTTAGTAACACCAATAACAATTCACATTGTACCCCTCCACTCATTTGATTTGCCCTGATGGACATACCTTACTTCTCAATGCATTTACCTATCCATTTGTTTCAACCAGCTTTGGTCTAAACAAAGATGACACTACATTTGCAGTTATAGGCTTATAGGTTGGAAGGGACTTTGGAAGTTATCCAGTTCAAATTTCTCATTTTATAATTGAGGAAATTGAGTCCCAAAGAAATTAAGTGACTTTTCCAGGGTCATACAGGGAGTAAATTGCAAAACCAGAATTCAGATTGAGTTTTAACTGAGTCTGGTACAGTGTTCTTTCCACTGCACCACACTGCCTGATCTGTAAATAGATTTGCCCTATAGCAAACAGTTTGATGACCTGGTTGCCAGAACTACTTGTTCCTGAATCATAGAATTTTGAGAGTTCAGAGTGTCCACCTAGTAAACCCAAATGTCAGTCATTGACACTATAACTTCCCTGGAAAGTGGTCAGTTCCTTGAGTTTATAGAGTCCTTCCCCATGCTGCACTTCCCCGCTCCCCCCCCCCGCAAGGTTCATCACAGTTTCTTAACTGTTATTTATCTTCCCAGCCATGATGTGAAATAGACAGGTGTTCAGCTTATATGAAGATCAGGCAAAAAAGAAGCCAAAGTAAGTTGGTGATCCATCAGACAGGATTCAACCAGTTGGACCCTGAATGGAAAAAGTGGAAGGCAAAAGTGAAAAGAACCTATCAGTTGCTAAACACAGCCCAGGGACTTGTGAAAAACACATTAAAATGTGTATAGAACTGTCATACCATTCCTGCTATAGTCCCCAAGCAAGCCATGAACCAGTTAGCTACAGTGAGACAGGAGCATGAGGAAAGAGCAGCCAGAAATCGCTCCTTTTGTCCCACTTGTTCCTACATTTGGGGTAGCTAGATAGCACAATGGATAGAGTGTGAGGCCTGGAATCAGGAAGACTCATTTTCAGGAACCATTTGCTAGTTGTGTAACCCTGAGCAAATCACTTAACTCTGTTTGCTTTAGTTTCCTCATCTGTAAAATGATCTGGAGAAGGAAATGGCAATCTACTCCAGTATCTATGCTAAGAAAACCCCAGGTGGGGTCAGGAAGAGTCAGGCATCACTCAACGTAAACAACAGAGACTATTGAACAGATAAGGGCACAAATATTGGGGCAGCTAAGTGCCACAGTGGATGGAGTGCTGGGCCAAGAGTCAATGAGACCTGAGTTCAAATCTGACCTCAGACACATAGTACCTGGGTGGCCCTGGGCAAGTCATTTAACCCTGTGTGCCTCAGTTTCCTCATCTGTAAAATGAGCTGGAGGAGGAAATGGTAAATAACTCCAGTATCTTTTCCAAGAAAACACCAAAAGGGATTGCAGAGAGTCAGGCATGACTGAAAAACAACAACATAACAAAATGCCTGATGTTTAAAAAAGTTCCCCAAATCTGAATATACAAAGGATAGAAAATAGTGACTGCTCTCATCCTTGCCCACATTACTGCATACTCTCTCTTCTCTTTTAAAATTTATAGCAGGAGGGAAGGTGCAATCCTGCACTAGCCTCTTCCAAGACAGAGGAAGGAATTCCATGTGTACTCCTAGAGTGATCTTGGCAGGGTTCTTTGACTACCTGTGGAAATCCACAGAGTGAGGTTGGATTAGATTCCTTGCTTCTATCCCCCCTATTCTTTCTTCACCTTTTTCCCTCTCAGCATTTGTTTTTCTCAGCTACAAAATGGACATGGCAATCCCAACAGAATTACTGGTTGTAAAGCACTTTGCCGATATCACCACTCAATGCCCATTAACCTTTGTTGGAGAAAGATACTTAAGAAGCAGCCTCAAGTTTAGTTACTGCTGTATTTTGACATGTGGAAATCTTTCCCACCCTTTTGAAATCAAGTCATTGGGACTCTTTTAGAACAAATGATGAATAGTGACTGAGAAACTTTACTATTTCTCTTCACATAGGAGTGGCAAGGGGTTTACTATGCCAGAAGAAAATCAGGAGACAGTGTGCAACAGCATGTGAAGATCACACCAGTGATTGGCCAAGGAGGGTGAGGAATGAATTTTGAACTCGTAGCAAATGACAAAGACCAAGATTCAGTTGAATGTATTGTGTTTTCTTTAGCAAGTGTAACCATTACAGATTCATGGATAGATTAACATCTCTATTTAGGGCCTGGTTATCAAGATAGGTTCTGTTCATATGGACTATTTGTGCCCAAACTGTGGTAGAGCCTTCTGAGATCATATTGGTCTGATCAGCCACAGTCAGACGCCCTGTACCTTGACTCCAATATAGTGATGTCATTTTGGTCCTCTTCAAGAAGGAAGGACAACCCCCACCACCACCAAAATAGGCAAGCCATTTGAAAAAAGAGACCCAAGGCAAAGCTGTTCTTTCCCCTTCCCATCCATGTATCTTTCATAACACTATATCATGTCCTTCTTATGTGTTTTTCAGGCTCCCAATCTCATGGGATGACCTTTGCCTTCTTTTCTTAAGGGAAGGAGCTCTGGTCTAGCCTGACCTATTACATTCTGTTACTTTTTCATGAAAGGATAAAACTGCCAGACCCTCTACAGTATGTGTGGTTATTCCTCTCCAGGGTTCCATATTACTCCCCTTCTCTTGTATCTCTGAGAGGTAAAGAAGAATAGAGAGGTCATTTGATTGAGGAAGAAAAACATGTTAGCCTGGAGCTGGTGAGATCCAGTTTCATTTAATCTCTGATCTTAAAGAGGCGAACAATTGTTTTATGTCACCTTAAGGGAAGGTAAATGTGCAATTTGATTTCCTCCCCAATGTGAACTTTGTGAGAAAGTATACTGGGCCAAACAGGATACAGTGCTATTTAATCACTTACAATAAATTACTGATTAGGCTTTGTACGTTAACCTGAAGTGTCAATACCATTTTAATAGCACATGGCGGTATGTGTACATAAGAGAGACATGGGATTGTACAAAATTCTTTAGGAGGAAAAAAAAGGCAATTTTGGCAACCTAGGAATGAGAGGAGGATGTAAAGATTCATCTCCTATGAATGCCACTTGATTTGCCAGTACTTATGTTATTAGAAGAACTACACATCCAGAATAATGATCCAATTCAATAAATAACAAATGCCTATTGTGTGCCGAACCATGGATTGGGTTCTGGGGGATGGGAGATAGAAGATGAGAATAAAATAACTCCTCAAATTGCTTTCAATTTCACAACAATCCTAAGAGTTCAGGTACTGTTATCTCAGTTTTACAGGTGAGGAAACTGAGGCCATGGGAGGCTTGCCATTTTATACCTAGAAAGAATCTGAAATGGGATTTGTACTCATCTCCTGACTCCCAAGTCTAGTCAGTACTCTATCAACTATGCCATGATGCCCCTACCCTTGTAAGACCTACAATCTAGACCAGGGGTGGGGAACCTATGGCCTCGAGGCCACGTGTAGCTCTCTAGGTCCTCAAGTGAGGCCAAGTCAAAGGGCCTCATTTGAGGACCTAGAGGGCCACACGTGGCCCGGAGGTGGCATTCGTCACCCCAGATCTAGACATCCTAAGGGCACGAGGCTGTGGAAGGGGTGAAAATGCTTCCCCTTCAAAATGTACTTATTCTTCAGTGTTGAGAGTCCTCCTCAGTCAAGATACAGCTGCATACTGCCATATGCTGTGTTGTATTTTTTTCCCTGTAACATCGATGGTCTAGCCACTATGATCACTCATAAACAAACTGGCAGAGGCTTAGGTACTCACAGGTATGAACCTACTAATCACCTCCCAAGGTACCATTTGCTGAACTGCCATTTCTTTCAGCACCTTACTTTCAGATGCCATGTGCCTGCCAATTTTGCCTAATCCCATCTTACTTTTATCATCCTTAGGCCCAGTCTACTTAGAAAACCAAAGCAAAGAACCTATTGTTTCCAACCTGAATCATCTAGGTAACCAAACAAAATAGACATTTCTTTAAGAATAGTCTTTCTGAGGATTCTAATTTGTGCATCTGTATAACAAGCAAACGAAACAAAGAGTGTTGTCTGTTCTTTGCATGGGATTCCATCACCTCAACTATTTTTATTGTCCTTGAGTTGTTTTTTTTGTTTTTTGTTTTTGTTTTTTCCAGTCATGGGCAACAAGATATTTTGTTTAAAGCCCATACTGGGTGCCCATTGACTAAGTAAATATTCGAAGATTTTCCTGTTCTAATTCTTCCCTCTAGAAAAAGTTAAGCCTAAAAGAAGTTATCATAAAACTTCGAGTCTATAAAAATAATTTAGTGAAATTGATCTTACAAATATGATAATGACCAGTCACTGTGAGTGTTTTTCAGGCAGTTATGATAGCCAGTGCTGAGATACCCATACACACTTGTGTAGTCTCTGTTGTGATTACAAACATTTGTGATTGAATAGAATTAGAGCTATAGTCTATGGCTCTGAAAAAGAGTTTTTCCTCTGTGTGAAACTCCTTTGCCCATGTGGGGATTGAACTACAAATGTTGGCTTTATTAACACTATGCCAAGTAGTAATTTTTGGCATGAAAATCATGAGAAGAGTTAAAGACCAAAACAATAGGACAATTGAGTTTTCCCTGGGTGGACCCCTAAGTCTCATGGTTTGTCCAAATACCTTAAAATGATGACTGTAACCAAGCAGAATTCAAACTACTTATGTGTAGAAGGATAACTAACACAAAAATTGTTATTGTTTCACTGAAGTCTTCAGTTGCTTGGTGAAGAACCTATTAGGGAATCACTTTTTAGTCCTGATTCAAAAATAGGGGATATACACATGCATATGAAGACATACATTTCTGCATGCATGTATGGACTGACATGTTTTATACACGAAAAACAATATCTGGGATGTTTTTGTAAACTAGTTTTTATTTTATTTTTTTTCATTTTCAAATCTGGCCTCAAATCACCTCTGGGGTATTATGTCTTAGGAGAAAGCTTGCTAATGGATTTAGTGTGCTGGTTTATTGTACATTCTCTTCCCTGACTTACTAATCACTGATTGTTTATGTTATTAGGAAAATTAGACATTTTGTGTCTCTCAAGAAACTGTGTTGTACAGCTGACAGCAATAAACAGGTACCGTATCCCATCTGTTTCATCTATCATGGCGCCACTGTCATGCATTAGCTTTTCATGGATCTTCTCTTCTTGTCATGTTTTTGCTGTTTGCTCTTCTCTAGTCAACTAAAAACTTCATACAGAAAATCCAGCCCTTCTGACAAAATATTGCTACAGAAAATGGTCCTTCATTGCAGCAATCAAAACATGAGTTGTAAATAGAGTGATATCCATTCAAAAAAGTGATTGCTGCATTGTTTAACCAGAATTGCATATTAAGACCTCAAATTTCCAAGCTCATCATTTTCTCAGGCTGATAGTAAAATAAATGAAATTAATGAGATCGTGACTATATTACTACCCAAATCAGTTTTTAATCAGTTCATTTCTTCTGATAAAGAGCAGTATCCTTTTTTTAGCTCATATGATCATTTGAGAGATTTCTCTCCCCACCCCTAACTATTGTATCAGAAACATGCAGCCACAGCAAATCTCCATATCTTTAAGATTCTAAAATTGAAAAGTTCACTTCTTTTTGAAAATTGAATGGTTTAAAAAATAAATTCCTGTATTAAGAAAAAAACTTGAGGTGGTTATACTGGTGGTTATAAAGTCCTGCTTCAATTCCTTGTCATGGTTTAGAGGTTCTTAGGGATTATGCCAGCAAAGTATACATTCAGACAGGTTCTGCCAAGTTGTCATCTGTAGTTCTGTCATCTGAGGACCTGCCTAACTAAATTTGGAGAGGCCTCACTATCAGGGTGGCTTCACAGAGATGAATTTTTCAACCTTACTAACTTTTGAAGACCATGTCCTAGGCCACAGAATGGTTATAATCTGCATTGGTGGAGGGTGTATCCACACTAATGAAATTACAAATCATTAATGATAACAATGGTTTCCCAGCCCCAATTTAGTAATTTTTCTGTCTCATACTTGTATTTTTTATTTTGTTACCTCTTTAAATAAGTTTATTAAAAAGTATCCAATAAATATAGTAAGTAATGGGATGGTGTGGGGTATATATTTTCTTGCCTTTGCCCTCTTGTAGAACGTGCATTGATATTACACTTATAAAGCTAAGCACCTCTTTTGGAATGCCCACATAAATGTGCTTGGTGAAACTCTCTCTTCAAAGTAGAAAATAAACACAAACTATTATAAAGCAGAATTAGACAATTAATAGCACCTTCTGGTCAAATATGTTGAGATTTTTATATATTTGTATTTGTACTATTAGTCTCATTTGGTCAATTGTTGGTTCATTTAAATGTTATATTGGTAAGGTTAGAATGATGACTCTGATCTTATCCTCAAGTTAGTTTCAAAGGTATGTTCTGATTTAAATGGCAACTTACCACACAAAGGAAATTTGGCATAATAGCTAGAGAATTCCAGGCAAAAAGACCATTTTGGATCCTACCACATTCTTTTTGGCTTTATCAGTTTTTATCAGATGACTAAATTTCCACTTATATATTATGCAGTGTAGTAGTTAAAGTATTTTATGAGGCAGCTAGGTGACTCAGTGGATGGAGCACTGGGCCTGGATTCAGGAAAACCTGAGTTGAAATCTGACCTCAGACACTCACTAGCTCTGTGACCCTGGGCAAGTTACTTAACTTCTGTTTGCCTTAATTCACTTGAGAAGGAAATGGTAAACCACTCTAGTATCTTTCCCAAGAAAGCCTCAAATAGGGTCATATGTTATAGTGAGGATTCCTTTTGTGCATGTATTAGACTAGGATGTCACTGTGGTCCCTTCTTACCCTCAAATTCTGTAGTTTTGTGAACAAACTGCTTTCTTCATATTAGGGCCTCTTCTTCTCATATTCATTTCCGTCTCCTTGCAGTCATGGAAACCTAACTCATCCCCAGCCATTTTCTCAAGTGCTGGACACATCTTCTCTCATGTCCTCCAACACACTGGGTAGGAGGGGAAGAAGAGGTATCAGTTGAAATAATATATGTAAGATACTTTGCAGACCTTAAACAATATAGAAATATTAGTTATCATCATCATCATCATCATCATCATCATCATCATCATTACCATTACCGCTTCCAGCCTCTTCCCCTACTGGCAATCTGTCCTTCTTTGAGCTTCATTGCTTATAGATAGCTTCCTTTGGGAAGCTATCTCCTGGTCCATAGGTCACTGTCATTCTTTTCTTGAGGAGTTCCATACTGAGCTTATAGTCTTCTTTTCCATTTGAACTCCTGCCCTCATATCTGAGGACTTCAGTACACACTTTGCCAGTTCATCAATCTCTTCAACTCCTGTGGTCTGTACCTTAACTGTACCTTAGCCACACACAGATGGTCATACCTTTGTCCTCATTCTCACTCACTAGTATTGTAATTCCATGATACAGTAATCTAAAATACATCTGTCTGTCCATAAAATCCTGACTTTGCCACCTTTCTCTGTGTTTCATCACTCCTAAAATTGTCCTTCATGCTCACCACAAACTTGTCATTCCACTCCTTTCTTTATCAGTCCATCAGCCCTGTTTTGGTTTCGTTTTTCTCCCTTCAAAATCTTAACAGTATAGTTGACCAGTTCAACTTTACTCTAGCTGCCACCCTCAAATCCCTTTCCTTGCTATCCAGTCATCACTCATCCCTTTCCAAATCCAAGTCCCATATACCTACTGCACCCCCAGATCCAACCTTCTTCCCTTCTACTCACCTACTGCTGAATGCCAATGTAGAACATCACAAGTCTACTGAATGAGTATACCACAAATGCATGCTATCTAATCTCAACTGGCCTTTTAATGGTGCAGGTCAGTCCTTTCACTGTATTACACTTTCCACATTGATCAGTTAGCCAACAAGCATTTACTAAACACCTGTTATGTGCCAGATACTGTGGTAAGTGCTGGACAATGAAGAAAGGTAAAAGACAATCCTTACTCTCAGAAAGCTCACCGTCTAGTGAGGGAGAAAACATGAAAAATAACTATATACAAAGAATATATAGGCAGGATAAATTCATAATAATCTATGAAAGAAAGGCACTATAATTAAGGAGAATGAGGGAGACTTCTTCTAGAAGGTGGGATTATAACTAGGACTTGAAGGAAGCCAGCTAAGCAAGAAGAGAGAAAAGAGGAAGGAGAGAATTCCAGACATGGGGCCAGCCAGTGAAAATGCCCCGAGTTGGGAAATGGAGTAATTGGTAAAGAACAGAAGGAGTCTGGTGTCATTGGATCACAGAGTGTGGGGAAGAATTTAGAAGACCGGAATAGTAGGAGGGGGCCAGTTTGTGAAAGACTCCGAATGACAGAGTAGTTTATATTTGATCCAAATGTATATTTGATTACCTGGAGTGAGAGGAAGTCATTAGAATTTATTGAATAGAGGGACAAGGTGATACTGTGCTTTAGGACAGTCAATTCGATAGCTGAGTGAAGAGTGGCCTAGAGTATGGAGACATTTGGGGCTGTATTGAAATAATTCCGGTTTAAGGTGATAAAGGCTGCCCCAGAATAGATGCAGTATCAGAAGATAAAAGAAGGCATACACAGGAAATGTTGCAAAGGTAAAATGATCAGGTCTTTGCTACAGATTGGTTATGGGGAACAAGAGAGAGTGAGGAAATGAAAATAACAACAGCCTGAGGGACTGGGTAACTGGAAGCTGGTGGTATCTTTGACAGCAATAGAGAAGTTAGGAAGCAGGGAAGCTTTGGGGGGGAATTCAGTTTTAGACAAGTTTAAAATGTCTTTGGGACATCCAGTTCAAAATGTTCAATAAGCAGTTGGAGACACAAGTCTCAAGGCTAGGGATGGATAAATATATCTGAGAGTTATCAGCATAGAGAAGATAATTGAATCTATGGGAGTTCATGAGATCACCAAATGAAATATTAGAGAGAAAAGAAGAGGCCTTAGGACTGAGCCTTGGGGGATACCCAGCAGGAATGACCTGAACAAATTTCACAAAAGAAGACCGAGGAGTGGTCACAAAAACCTGGAGAAAAGAGATTGTCAAAGAGAAGAGGGTGATGGTCACTGGATAGCACTGGATGACTGGATAGCAAGGAAAGGGATTTGAGGATGGCGGCTAGAGTAAAATTGAACTGGTCAACTATACGGTTAAGATTTTGAAGAGAGAAAAACCTAGAAAAAAGATTATCAAAGAGAAGAGGGCAATGGTCAAAGCCTGCAGAGAGGTCAAGAAGGATGAAGATTGAGGGAGAAAGGCTATTGGATGTATTGATTAAGAGACAATTGATAGCTTTGGAAATGGTAGCATCATTTGAATGACGAGGTCACAAGTCAGAAAGTTAAGAAAAGAGGTGGACATATCAATAATAGATGGTCGTCTTAAGGAATCTAGCCACAAAAAAAGAGTAGAGAGATAGGATGATAGCTAACAGGGATGAATAGATCCAGTGAGGTAATTCTGAGACTAGGAAAAACATGGTTATGTTTGCAGACAGTGGGAAAGCAGTCAATAGACAGGTAGAAATTAAAGATTACTAAGACAATAGAGGTGGTAATCTGCTGGAGAAGACAAAATGGAGTGAGGTCACTTGCTTATGGAATAGAATGTCTAAAAGAATAAAGAAACTGTCTTTTGATATGCCAAATTATTCAATTGCTTTTTCCCCTCTTATTTCCCCAGTGTTAGTTGGAACCTTGAGGCCACTTGAAGTTGAAAGAATCATAGATTGAGAATTGTTTGTCAGTCAGTAATGGTTTATTAAGTATTTTATGTGCACCAGACACCCATGCTACTCTTTGGGTATATAAAGACAGGCAAAAAGCATATTCTCTGCCCTCAAGGAGTTCACAGTCTCATGGAGGAGACAATATGCAAATAACTATGTACACATATACAACTGAGTGGTAACAATGGATAGAATGCTAAATGTAAAGTCAGGAAAACCCAAGTTCAAATCCAGCCATAAACACTTATTAGATGTGTGACCTCAAATTCTCTGTGCCTCAATTTCCTCACTTATAAAATGGGGATAATAATAACATACTTCCAGGGTTATTGTCAGC